ATTACAGTAACGCGTCACAAGTAACGCGCCACTGCCCATCTCTGCTCAGAACTAGCAACCACAAAATTAAACTCTCCACCAGCATGTTTACTGAGGTCATAGGTCATGAAAGTTTTCCTGGACTTGATACAACCAAATGTATTTTTATAAAAAGAACACTCGGAAAGCACAACTTCCTGCAAGGGCTACACCAAAACTATGATGTTTTATACCAATGTCAGCATTGTTAATATGGGCATCTTGTGTAGTATAGTCATCTTTCTGTATCATTGTGTCATATAAGGTTGTATTGGAAAAAATAATGTTTTAAAAAGGTCAAACAAAGAAAGGTCTAATATATGGCTTTAATGTGTGAAGATTATCCAAATGAAACATTTTTCGTGGCCTACCTATGACCTTGAAGCACTACATAGTAAAATAGTGTATTTTATTATCTTTACCCATATGACTGGAGCAGAATCGGCTGAAATCTTTGGCTTATTTAAGCTGTAAAAACTTGAGCCGTAAGGCATCGTACTGTGGTGTTTAACAGCTTTCTCTTCCTTTCATATGATTGTTTTGGGGTTGTTGTTTTTTTCAAAGTTAACTTTGATTCTGAAGGTCAAAGTCAAAAGCTTAACCAACCTGGGTAATCATGCCCCCTAAGGCCTAGTATATTGTTGTGAAGTTTGAAGACGATTCATAACAAACTGTTTTTGCTGATTTCACTGTTTTTACTGTTACAGTGATGGGAGATACCAGGATACCAATGACAGCTTATACTGTTGTTGGTATCTGTCAGACCATTAGAAAGAAAGAAAGAATGCAGGTTTAAGCCCTTTAGATTAGATTAGATTAGATGAAACTTTATTAATCCCTCGGGTGGGTTCCTCCGGGAAATTCAGTTTCCAGTAGCAAAGCACCGAAAGAAGTTGCATGTTACAGATACATTAAGGGGAATGAGAGTAAGGATATAAGCATAAATAAATACACAATATATACACATATATAGATACAGAATATACAATATGGATAAATAGGATTGCTCATTTGAGTGAGTATATTGCACAGTGATTATTGCACAGTCGAATATAAGAAAAAAAAGACAAAACAAAAACAGAAACAAATATTGCACAGTGTAGAAAAGCACCTACTCAGTTGTTCCCGCCCTCCCTTGTCCCCCTGTTTCTCCTCCCTCTCCCCTCCAGTGAGGAGTTAAACAGTTTGATGGCGTGTGGGACAAAGGAGTTTTTAAGTCTGTTGGTTTTTGACTTTGGGAGAAGCAGCCTGTCGCTGAATAGTGTGCAGAGGATGCCCGGCATTGTTCATAATGTCCATCAGTTTCTTTAAGGTCCTCTTCTCTGCCACTGTCACCACCAGCTTCATGCCATTACCCGGCACAGGCTAATTGAAATCATGCCAAAACAACCAACAGTGTGTTTTTCTGCGTTGAACAGATGCCAAAGAGTCAAATTTACACTACACAGCAACAACCAACAGCTGATATGCGATGATATATTTTTTCCCAAGTTTCATATTTAAAGCTTTAGGTAATCAGTGTGTGAGCTTCAATACTGCAGTGTGTTTGATCTGATAAAAGCTTCATAACAGCATTCACATCGGCCCCAGCATATGTCAGTAACAGCAGGTAAACCCTCTAAAAATGTCCCAGTCTGTTGCCTTGATTTCAGTTTAGAATAATGTGGTTAATGTGTCGCAAATACCAGCTGGTGATACCACACACTGCTGGATAAAATGACACAAGACAAGTAAACAGACACAAGGACAGGAATCACCATAACACAGTAAGATGGGGTTTGCTGTTGATTTAGTGTGCCTTCAGAAACACTGACTACATGTGAGAGGACCATATGGAAATAAATGTGAGCTCGTAAAAAAAACCATGTTGGTCAGTTGAATTAAACGGAGGGTGACAGGATAAAAACCCTTGAACTAAAGAGTGGGTGACAGGCAGTAAAGGCCATGAGAACTCTCCCAGTTTGGGGGAGGACTTCGGGATAGAAAAATAACCTCCTTTCAAAAACCATTTAAAGAGTCACTCTGCAGATTTCAGAGTATTGATTTAGTATTTTTAGTTTGTAAGACATTCATTCACAAGATAGGCAGGGTTGTACCATGTTTACTGGTGAGGGGGGGACTAGAGCCATTACACTAAAATGTAAAAAATCCCATTCTCTTCCTTTGGCTACTCTTGAGTTCACGATTAAACACTTTTAACTCCTTGTGCTGCATTTAACCCTTTTGAACCCGTGCAGATCCGACCAATTCTGCACCCCACATCCTGGATAGCTTTGAGCGTCGCGAGGTGATGGCATCTCATCGAGTGGAGCTCCCTTGCAAGGCCTCTGGTCACCCCGTACCCAAATACCGCTGGCTGAAGGACAACCGACCGCTGGAGACAGACTCGCGCTTCAAACAGAGTGTGACAGGCCTGCTCATAGAGAGAGCCCAGCCCAGTGACACAGGGACGTATGTGTGTGAGGTGTGGAATGGCTACGGCAATGCCGAGGTGGTTGGCAGGCTGCAGGTAAAAGGTCAGTGTCCTTGTGATGGTGCAAAGGCTGTGGAGTTTTTTTTTATTATGGAGCAATGAATCAAAAGAGGCAGTTTTTTAAATGTGAAGCATGAAGCATTTTTTTCTAATGATGATAACTTGGTACCTCCACTAAACTAGAGCCCCTCAAGGTCGTGGTGAGTCCGCGGAAGGTGAAAGGCAGCGTGGGAAGCCAGGTTTCACTGTCCTGCGGTGTAACGGGCTCCGAGGAGTATCAGCTGTCCTGGTATCGCAACGGAGAACTCATCTACCCCAGCAACAGTGTCCGCATGACAGGCCAAAACAGAGAGAACCTGGTCATGGCTGGCATGGCCAAGAGCGATGGAGGAGCCTATCAGTGCTTTGCAAGACATGGCAAGATGTCTGCACAGGACTTTGTTCAAGTCATACTGGAAGGTCAGAATTCACAGTGAGACGTGTGGGTGGGAGCAGTGCATGTGTGCACAGCAATTGTGTATCTAAGCATACGCAAGTCCAGACTGTGCTGTGTGAAGCTCAACAGGGCCCAGCCCTTTTTATAAGAGTTTCTGAAAAGCCTTGAGCTGCACATGAGCTGGTTGCTGCTGCAGTGTCTCCCATAACCAGGGTACTATAAGGGGAATATTGATAATCAATAATGCTGTGGAGCCAGAGAGGAGCTGGATTAATCTGCTCCTCATTCTGACTCTGCTTTTCATACTGGAGATGTGCATGTTTTCCACTAAAAGTGCAGATTTGGACAAGATTCTCATTCAAAAGCATCAGATATGGATTGACATGCATCCCTTATGAGGGGAACAACAAAATATACATCACTGTGTGAACTTTCTCCCTCTGTGCAGATGGCACCCCCAAAATTCTGGTTTCGTTCAGCGAGAAGGTCTACAACGTCAACGAGTTCGTGTCATTGTCGTGCACGGTGAAGGGCACGCCAGAGCCGCGGGTAACGTGGACTCTGGACGATGAGGCCGTGGTACGGGACAGCCGCCATCGCATCTCCTACTACACCAACGCCGAGGGCCACGTGGTGAGTCATCTGAACATCAGCCAGACTCAAGTCCCCGATGGAGGAGTGTACCGCTGCATCTGCAACAACTCAGCTGGGACCGTTTCCTACCAGGCGCGAATAAACGTAAGAGGTGCTTGTCAGATCAACTCTTCCAACACACCATCACATATACACATCGACATGCCTCGAGTCACTCTGTTTTGACGCATTTCCGATTGGCTACTTTAAAAGTGCACGTGATGAAAGAGGTTTTATTACGCTGTCGTTTTTCTAGCTTTTCACATACTTTTAAATCTGATAGCGTAGCTTGGCTCTGTTTCTCCTCAGAATAGAGCAAGACGCCCAGAAGATGCTTTTCCTGTTATCTTTCCAATTTTTGGGGGTTTTCTGCATTTGGATTTCACCATCTCTATATCAGGACAGTTATTACTGTTGACTGTACTGCTATATGCATTCTACAGGGACACGGCTTGCTGAATTGCTACTGTCATGTAGTGACACCGGGGCGCTCAAGCTTGTCGTGCTTTCCAGAACATTATTATTTCTCTATTGCAGAGAGGGAATGTTGCTTTCTTTGTGCAGATTGGTCGGATTTGATTGCTGCTCAGTCTTGCATGTTGTGGGGCTAAATAGGGCGATCCTCCAGCCCTTAAGCGAGGGTTCATGGATGCCAAATGCAGCCAACCAATGAAGATAAATCTCCACAGGTGCCAAAGCGGAGAACGTGTAATGACTGCTTCTCACGTCATTGGCTCCTTAATCGTGCTAAAGAGAGTAGCAACCCAGGATACGCTTGTATTCCAAGTACACTGCAGAGCCTAGTTAAACTGTCTTCTCCAGTGCTTTAAAGAGACACCTAATAGTCCATTTCCCTGATAGACACTGAGCTATGGAAGCCTATTGGTTATTCTGTTGGTTTTTCACAAGTGTGCACAAAAGGCGGCAACGTGAGTAATGGCTTTGATAATAGCTTCATGAGTGGAGAAAGCGAACATTCGACTCTAATGCTTATCAGAAGCAATCACAGCCTGCACCAAAGAGGTGGGAGCAAAAGGTAATATTCACTACAGTCTCAAACAGAAAGATGCACCAATCCCTGAATCTGGCGAAGCAGGATTTGACAGAACAGAACAGCAGAACGGTCCACCCCGTGATGATTCGTAGTCTCATTTGTGTTTAATCGAGCAGTCTGTAACCCCTACGCACATCTGGCTCATTCTTTATGTCACAGTATCAGAGTGAATCGAGGCATGTACAACTTTGTGGTGTCTTAAAAACACACAAAACACAGAAAAGCTAACTTTCACACCACAAACCACCTCAAAATCATTTTAAGAGAGTTGTCTCTCCAATGTGTCCTTCAAGGGCCTGCCAGCATCAGACCAATGAAAAACCTCACTGCCATCGCTGGGCGGGACATGTACATCCACTGCCGTGTCATTGGCTACCCCTACTACTCCATCAAGTGGTACAAGGACTCCAATTTGCTGCCGTACAACCACCGGCAGCGGGCCTTCGAGAACAACGGCACCCTGAAACTGTTCGACGTGCAGAAGGAGGTGGATGAAGGAGAGTACACGTGTAATGTGCTGGTGCAGCCACAGCTGTCCACGCACCAGAGCGTTTACGTTACAGTGAAAGGTATGAAACAGTCGAATTGATTTTCAGACAGACAGCACGGGACTCGTTCTATATTCGGTCCAATAAAACAAGATTTAGTTCATTTAGCTGCGCGACACCGTCGTGTTTACCCGTCCGCGAGGCCAATAAGCAGCTGTTTCAGATGTACGTTCGCATTTGTGCGGTACTGTATTGTACTCTGTGTTTGCAGAATACATTTGTGGTTACGCTGCCATTAATCTCTTTGCAATTCAAAGGGAACGGCTTTATCGGTGCACACGCTGACCCCGTAGTGCCTTTCCATCGGAGGCGTATGCCCCCTTTCCGCGTTGCAGAAAACACAGATATGCAGAGTGATATTTGTATATCACTACCTATGAAAAAAGCTCTCACATCACTGATAGCAAGGCGCCATCTCCATCATCCCAGCCAGCTTATCTGGAGCTCATCTGAATATGCAGCAGGACTGAGAAGAGCCAGATGATGATAACCTCCGATGGCTCTTTCTTCAGTGACGCAGCATCATTTCAGCTGTCCTATGGGCCGATCCCCACCCCCCAACACCGGTCTTGACGTGCTAACGAGCGTTTGAGGGGGAAATCACACAGCATAGACAAAGCGACACTTCTATTCCACCTTGGCTAATTTGCCTCTCAGCTGCTTAGCATTCCGCCGCTGCCGAGAGGGAATCCCCAGGAACCTATTATGCTTATTTTGTTGTGAATTAAATAAGCGCTGAAGTGCTGCTTATTCCAATGTTATTTTAAATCATTAATTTTTCAAAGCATCTGGTTCTCACGATGGCTACAGTGTCCCCGGAGAGCCGAGTGAGAGTGAATGCTATATGCTTGTGTTTTGAGAGGCTTCAGCTGCTCCACATGAGGCGAGCTAATAAAATATTTCTTGCTTCCCTGAAAAATCACAGCTTAATGTGGAAAATAAGGTGATAAAGAGAGAACTGGAACTAATGAGTTGCTATGTGAGTGTTTTGTAAAGTAGCTCAGCCGCGGCGTATAGTGTGTTAATGTGTTGATTATTAATGTGCATGAGCGGTTAGTGATTTTGAGGAGCTCTGGCTGAAATTAAACAACCTGTAACTCGCAGGCCTCAAGCAATATTCCCGTCTCTGTTACAGTCCCACCCACCATCCAACCATTTGAGTTTCCCCGGTTTTCCATCGGCCAGCGAGTCTTCGTCCCCTGTGTGGTTATGTCTGGTGACCAGCCCGTCTTCATCACCTGGCAGAAGGATGGTCGGCCGATCCCGGCCAGCCTGGGCGTTACCATAGACAACATAGACTTCACCAGCTCCTTGCGTATCTCTAACCTCACGCTGATGCATAACGGCAACTACACCTGCATCGCACGGAATCAGGCTGCCGCTGTGGAGCACCGGAGCGAGCTCATTGTCCGAGGTGAGGAGGGGAGAGGGTAAGAGATGCAATCTGGATGTGATTTACAGAAGTACAGCGCTGTGGAAAAGTTTGGATCCACCCCTCATTTCTTTATGTTTCACGTGCAAGCAGCCAGACTTTCTTTGAGCAGTAATTCTCCAGGCTTCCTGAGAGTCATTCACTGATTGCTTATTTTCTCATTTCTGGACTGGATCCTTGTGCC